CTATCGCATGAGGATTACCGTATATAGACGCTGATATTTCCTTTTAAAATTTGTTTGTCTATTTTCATCGTATATCTCATCTTTTCCAATTCCTCTCCTCTTCGGATTATAAGAGATCATTTCTATGATCTGGGATGGATATTTATTTGGAAAGAAGCATCATACGAAGATGAGACATATATAAACAAACTAGTGATTTTGAGCTTTTAAAAAGAACCGAAAACATAAGCAACATCAGAATTTTTGTTTGTTTTAACTCTGAAAATGCACTTATGTGGATTCAACCTCATGTCATATTTTTCAAGTGTTTTGTTGGTTTCTTTTAAATATTTAATGTGTTATTCTAGTTTGTTGTTTTTTTAGTAGCACATCATCAACACAGACTTCAATATATTTTTTTTTTCATAAAAGATTACATCTATCATCCGATGGTAGGCATCCCGAGCATTCTTAAGTCCAAAGGGAATTTTATTATAGCATAAAACTCCCTCTCTCGTGATGAAAACTATCTTTTTGGCATTAATTGGGTGCATCTTTAATTGATGGCACCCCGAGAAAGCACCCAAGAAGCTTAGAATGGGTATCCAGCTGATGCATCCCTTGCACATCGATTCGTGGTATAAGGAAGCCATCTTTTGGGCAGATTAAGTTCAGAGTAGTAAAGTTGACGCACATCCACCACTTAACATTAGCCTTGCAAGCCATCACCACATTCATCACCCAATTAGGGTTTTTTAGATTCTTGATGTTTCCTAGCTCTAGTAACTTCTAAATCTCTTCTTTGATTGGCTTGGCTAAGGCTATAGCCCCCATGCTCATTTTTTGTTTGATGGACTAAGTTAATGGATTAATGTTGGGGCGTTGGTATGCCACATCAATAGAAACTCCAAGCATTTCTTTGGTCGACCAAGAAAAGACTTCACAATACTCTTGGACGGTCCGAATGAGTTCTTCTTTGATACCTGCATCAAAACCATACTTATTCAAAAAGACTTACAATCATCACCAAGTCTAGTTAGGACTTTCTCTATGAGTTCATTGGTCACGAGGCTGCTTGCTGATTGTGTTTCCGAGTCCAAAGGTTCCTGTTATACACTACAAACAGCTGGTAAGTGGCAAGCGTGTGATTTTTCCTAGTTTAGCCATACAATGATGATTTTTCCATCGCCAGAAAACTTTACTCCTAAGTAACATGTGGAGACAATCATCTTAAAGGCATTTAGTAGGGCCATGCAATGATTGCAATATGAAATCAACCACGGTGGTGAATTACCTGTCACCTCTCCCCAAGTGATGGGTAGTGCCAAAAAACCCAAAGTCTCTTTTATTTCTTTGTAGAAACCATATAGTGGTCAAATAGTAGTCGTGAAGCACTTGACCTAGAGGCTCAAATTATTAAAAATTGATTTGAAAAAGATATTCACCAAGTTGCTAGTGTTATTGAGGATGCTTCCCACCTGGAAGTTGTTTATAAGAGCAGTAACAACAATTGTATCATTATAATGGTTATCTTTCAATCGTAAGTATTCATCGGTAAATGTGATGGGCAAATGTTGTGTGACTTGTTATAGGGATCAAGTGACCAAACATGACTTGCTTGTTTGAAGTCTTTTTATATTTGCCCATTGGGAGGCCTGTGTCCTATCTCTCCGCACCCAAACCACACCCCATCCCTCCCATTTTAGGATGGAAGGAACGACTCTCATGATATGGATGGAGTAAGCCTGAGATGACTCTTCTTTACTTTCTATCATCAAGACCTTCCTAGGTCATTGGTCGCTAGCATCCAACATAAAGAACTCTTTAAGCTTACAAGCCTGAATCAACACTTTGACTTAAGATTGGAGGTGCTGCCATTTTTCTTTGTCATGCCCATGGTCTCGATGATAAACATAATATTTTTTTTTGTCTCAGGAGTATCACTCGACCTTCACAGGTGTTGGCTTCCGGAAATAATGCTTATTCTAAATGGCTTATAAGATCTCTACCATTAAGACACTGAGTGAGTTGGTTGAGGAATATGATGTGTTGATGGTAATGGTAATGGCCACTCCAGGTATCAATCCACTCTCTATCCTCGGTACGGTGTCCTCTGTTGATCTCAGTGTGTAGTCTTCTTCGAAAAGTATGTCTCTCGTTGAGGGAGTTTTTCTTTATACAGTGGGCATATTTCTGGTCATAGTGGATGACTGGACCTCCATTTTTTGTTGTGAAAACTCCTTATATAAAGGATTTGACATGACAATTTAGACCTCTAGGAGACTGCAAATAAGTTGTATTCTCTTATCGAAATATGGTCATTGGCAAGCTCCAGTGGCTCTAATAACGTTTTAAGTCATTGCAGTCACAAAGCATACCAGAAAGGGCACTTTCTCAACCCTTGGGTGAGTGCTTGTGTGTGACTATGGGTTTCAAATATCCTACCTCCAACATCTCTTTCTGGAATCCAATTATAAACGAGCACATCAACTCCTCTCTCTCATACTGTACTTGCATTATGGCTTGAGTGTCTTTGTAGCTTTTGGGTGCTAAAAAACTGTCACGAACATCCTCTTGAATTCCTCGATTGAGGTGATTATCCTAGGTGGCAGATTATTGAACCACCGAAGCACAAATTCTTTCAGGGTCATAAAGAGGAGTCGACACTTCAGAGCATCATTCATCCTCACTAGGAAAACCGTAGACTTGAAAGAGGTGATATGGTAGGTCGGATAAGTCTTCCCTTGATATGGCACTAGGGTTGGGATTTTGAATCGCTCAGGTGCTTCAGCCTCGACAATCCGTCTGGAGAAAGCATTGTCGAGGGCTAGCCGACGAGCGCCCACACATCTTCTCCATCTCGCGTCTGAGACATTGATCTAGTGTTGCCAGGGTGATATGTCTAGTCACTCACACCTGGAATTGGGGAGCAGATCGTTAGTTGGGCCACCGTTCTGCTCTTTGTAGTAGCATTTTCTTATCAATTTCCCCATCTGATCTTTGAGTTCTTATATCCATTGGGTTACAAAATCCTTGGTACACTCCATATTGTCTGCATTCTCTTGAATACTTTACGTATCTTGAGATGCTCCTCTTGTCGTTGGTGACATGATTCCACGTTCATCACACCTTTCGTTTTGTTGAACCTAGATTTTTCTCATAATCAAACTCGAGGAATAGAACGTGCCCATCGAAAGAGAAAAGAGAATCCTTGAATTTCTATTAAGATTCCTTAATCAGATGAAAAAGAGAATGCCCCTCATGGTGCACAATACCTCCTATTTATAGAAGCCAAACCTCTCATATTTTGGAGGAAAACGTTACACCATTTCAAATAAAGAGAATTAACACCACAAGGATCCCTTAGTGGGGCCTATACAATTACAACTTCCCCTAAATCATGGAATATGTGTATTCCTAAGGACGGGGAAGCATGTCCCCTTCCAATATTGTTTGGGCCACCCTAGCTTTGAATTGCACTATCACTCAAGTTAGTCTCATCTGCTTGTTATCGGGCGTTTATGTCCAATCAACCAATTCTTTGACGTGTCTTAACCTATCAGTTAGTCTAGTTCATAAATCCGAGACTCGTAATTGAGAGTTGGTTGGCTGATAGTGAGGTTAACTCACTTTTTGTCCAATCACCCCTTCCATATTGACTTCGGGATTGCACAGCTCTCGTTGCTTCTTTGGTCATGAAGGGAGGGCCGCCCAACTTAGCCTGGTCGACTGATCATGTTGTTCAGTCGCCATAATTTAAGACCCATAACTAGGGGACTTGGCACCTAATATTAATATTTACTCGCCTTTTGTCAAATCGCCCCCTCCATATTGACTTGGGGTTACACAGCTTGCATTGCCTGTTTTTGGAGGGAGGGCCACTCAACTCAAGCTAGTCAACCGAACCTGTTGCTCAGTCGCCATGTCCCCTTTGTCTGGTTGGTTCGATCAGACATTTATGAGACTATTTTTTGCCATAAAATTGCCTATATAAGGCCCAAAGAAAATGTGGCGTAGGTTGATGCAATAATCCCAAATCCATAACAGAATTCGTGAGCTTGGAGTTTCCTTAATAAGAATCTGGTGCTTGCTGACATACCCACTTTCCCATGCTTCGGCGTTTGGCATTGTAAGCGCTCATTTTGCTCCAATTTATCTTAACAACAAATTAATCAAAATAAGTCATAAAATCAAAATAAATAAACTGCAAATAAATAATTTGCATATCTAACACGTCAATAAAATAATTTGTTATACAAATATACAATATTATACATAATTCACGGATTACCTCCAGGCTAAAGATTCGTTTTTGGGGCATTTGCACACATACCACAATTCTTATGTATTTACATATTAATCTTTCATATTTACATACATAACAATCTCATCATTTATATCACATCAAAACTATCACTACCACCAACCTTTTAAAAGTTAACTAAGCCTTCTCATGCAAAGTTCATAACACAAATATTATGAATGTAAAAATCAAACTTGAGGCGTTAGATATGCAAATGCAAAGGAATTGTGTGGTCTGTAGGGCTATCAAAACGGCTCGTGTTCGGCTCATTCGCTAAGTTAATGAGTCGAACACGAACAATACAACCAAATATTTGTTCGTTCTTGTTCAGCTCGTTTTGGCTCGAAATACTACTAATCAATTACATATATATCTTTAATGAGTAGTATTTTTAAAAAAATTAATTGACTGCAAGGCTACAAATCAATTAAAAGTATTAATGAAGAAAATAAAATAAAAATTATTAAACTAGATTCAAATGATGTTTTAAATCTTGCTTCAATCCTTAACATCTTATGATTATGTGATTAGGTGTGTCAAAATGACTCTTTGTTTGTGAATGGCTCGTGTTAGGCTCGTTCCGAACACGAACACACTTTCTGGGCTCAAAATATAAACGAGCCGAACAGGAGCTAAGCCTGGGCTCGCTCGTGTTCGCCTCGTTTACACCCCTAGTGGTCTGTGTGTAAATTCCTCTTTTTTATTTCCATTTTAAACCTTCAACATTAAAAAATGCCTGCAGACAAACATAAATTTTTGCACAGAATACAGATTGACATTGATAACATAATATTAAACTCCATTTCCTAAAAAAAACAAAAAAATTAAATTAATCAGCAAACATTTCAAAATAAAACTCACATCTACAGAGTATTCACCGAGTGCAGTTGCTAATCTATACTACACCTTCACACGGTAGAACGAAAGGCTTTATCTACAAATTCAGATCTGAAACAGACGGCTTCTTCAATAACGATTGGCCAGATGAAAAAGCCGTCAATTGCAGCAGATCCCTCATTCCAATTCCTTTGCGAAATCAATGTTATCAACAAAAACCTGCAAAAGACAAACATTCCATGCAAAAGATTCAGCCCAGAATAAATTCATAAAATCCATTGACAGGATCAGAAAGCTGGAAATGCATTTACATATCTAACACGTAAACTTCAATTTTTACATATATACCACCTTACGTATGAATAAAAGGGTGTATATAACTTTTTGAAAGTTAAAATAACGGTACTTTTGATGTGATATGAAATATTTGAGTAGTATAAATCTAAAAAAAATAAAGTTAAGTGTTCTATAGGTAAATACATAGGCATTGGGTGTATGCATGTAAAAGCCCAAAAAGTGATTTAAACCCAAAGAAATATACATGTAGCTCGCTTGGCTTAGCCGTTGAGAATTTTGTTTCTAACCACAAGGTCCTGTGTTTTAAAGCCCACAGTGATGCACGTGGATTTATATATCTCACATCAAAACTTTCATTTTTACTCGCATAGCACCCAATTCTTTCATATCACATCAAAAATAGCACTAATTACACTTATTAATGGTCAAAACTATCTTTTAATACATAGCTAAAGTCATAGGCCTGTAAATATGGAAGTTTAGGTATTAGATATGCAAATCCATAAGAATCGAGTGTTAAGTATGTAAATTTTCTAAGAAAAAAACAAATCAAGATATACCATAAAAATCAGTGTAAGAATCGAGTGCTAAGTATGTAAATTTTCCAAGAAAAAAACAAATCAAGATATACCATAAAAATCAAAATGCCAAAAACAAAAAATAAAAAAAACAGGTAAGAAAGGACATCAACTCAAACCAGGAAACATAATATCAGAACCTATTCATCATCAAAGCCACAAGCAGCAGTATAAAAGTGATGATTTTTGCCAATATAATCTCAAATAGAAGCTTGACTTTAACAGTATACATATAAACATGAAAATAAAAACAAATGAAGATGAGAAATGTAAATAATAATATAAAAAACTTACTGCTTTCCAACCATCAGGATCAAGGCAAGCGGTGATCTTAGTGCTGATGCCAGGTAAAGGGCCTGGTTCCCGAGTTATCTTCCCACCATACAATTTTATAGCTTCTGCAGTTTTATACACATCATCGGTGCCTATAGCAATCTGGCAGGTCAACAAACATTCAGTCTACATAGATCATAGTAATAAGCACCAGGAGATGGAAATTCAAAAGAAGGCTGCAGAAATCAACATAAATTTAAAAAATTACAGATGCAATACTTTAGATCACAATAATTACAAGCATGCAGCTCATTCAAGTAAAGAAAAATGCAAGAAAAAAAAAACAAAAAACAAGAACAAAAGTAAGATTTACATGCATGCCCTTAATTCCTTTATATTTACAAATCTAACACCTAAACTTCAATTTTTACATGTACGTCACCTTATATATGCATGAAAATGTGTATTTCACTTTTTAAAAATTTAAAATAGTGGTAATTTTCATGTGATAACAAACATTTGGGTGGTATAAATGTACAAAATAAAATTTAAGTGTTAAATATGTAAATACATAGAAATGAGTGGAGTGGTATGCATAAAATAAAAATAAAAAAATTATGCAGCAGCTTGAAGTGGAATTATTACCTGTGCGTAGGCATTTCCTTTGTCATATTCTTTAACTCCGTAGTTGTATGTCAACTCCAATACAGCACTCTTGTCTTCGGGACCATAACCCATCATTGCAATGGTATACTGGAAACAAATAAATCTTGAATATTAACAAAAACCCATTTATAAACTAAACCGTGATCATATCAAAAAAGAAAAATATCTACACTCGTAGCCAAAATTAATCGAACACAATAAATTATAAGATAGTAAAGAAATTGAAAACGAAAAGGAACAGGTGGGGATAAAGAAACAAAATAGAATTCAATTATATGATTATCATCATTACCTAAGAATTTAATCATTGGTAGCACTAAAAAATACTTTCCGAGGAGAATGGCAAAGGGCAAGAGCCTGAGGAGATACTTACAAGATATCAAAGTCTAATGAAGTTCTATACGGCAAGAAAAAACAGTATCTTATAACTTTCAGGTTAAAAGATAGAATAATGCGATGAATGGACACAGTTTTATAAAATTAGAAAAGAGGCATTTACATGCATACCACCCAATTCTATGTATTTACATGTCTAGCCCAAAGTTTGATATTTACACTTATAACACCTTGGTGTCATAAATCAATGCCTGAAAAGGTGTATTTCACTTTTAAAATGATAGTAACGGTGATATTTTTGATGTGATATTAAAGATTTGAGCGGTCTGCATATAAATATGAATGATTAAGTGTTAGATATGTAAATACATAAGAATTGTGTGTTATGTATGTAACTGCCCAATTAAAAAATCACTCCACTTGTTATAATAGGGAAGCGGTCTCCTACGATCCAGCGATAGAGGGATTGGATGAGAAACAAGCCTCGGAAAGTGAAATCCCTTCCCGGTAGCCTGTAGTGGGAATTTCCCCATTACTGAATGAGACCAACTCTTGTGGGCCCCCATATTTATGTCTATTTTGAATTGAATTAAGACTAAATTTTGCTTGAGATTATTTATATGTTGTTAATTTCTATTTTTGGGTACTTTTGCTTGGTTTATGTTATTTGGAGATTTCCTTCTCCTTATTTTTGCTATTGAAGTGTTGTGTCCTTTAATTTCTCCCAGAGGGTATGTTTAGCCTGATTGGATCGAGGTGGTGATCTCTCTCAAACCTCCAAAATCTTCCTCCCTCTTCAAACTTGTTGTCTTTTGTTCTTCCTAATTAGAAATAAGGAAATTTGAAAGAAATAAAAATAAAACTAAATAAATTGGCTCGAGACATCATCTAGAGTGGGATGGCATCCCGCGATCATGGAGGAACCATGATCTCGTGGTAAGCGCTGATCCCGTATCACATCCCTGAAGAAACACTTTTCCCATCATTCTTCCCAACTAGGAGAGATCTCCTCTTCTTCTCTAGAAGGATCTGCATCCTATTGTCGGATGTTCATTCCAACAAAACATCAAAATAGATTTCTAAAGTTGTGACCCGCCACTTTTGTCTAGCTATCTGACTGTGAGTGCGTTGCTGAACTGAGTTGAAACTTAACACCCAACTATAGGACCTTAAGGAAATTGCTCAAAATTTCACACTTCTATTTGAAGTACATGTTTGACTGCTCTCAATTGTGGCAACCGAAGGGGTAAACTAAAGATCATAGAACCTTGAAATTCCTCTAGTGAGAGCCGCACTACCTCAGTCATTATCTTTTCCAAGGCACTATCTCCTAGAATCACCAAGGCTAGTTTCACTGGTGCCGCTCCATAGCACGTGGAAATATGATCGAGCCGCTAAAGTTCCTATCTTTGTAAAAAGTGCCAATCACGGTTGACTCCTTTTAATGTGGAAGTATAATATGCTTCCCTTCCTTCATAAGCAAGCAGGTATTTTTGCGACCATCATAAAATGTACCCTTATTAAATTGCTACGGTTGGCCCAAAAGAATGTTACATGCATCCATAGGTACAACATTACAACAAACATGATCTTGCAACTTTTCTCCAATAAAAAAACTCCACTGGGCACCTCCTATCAAAAGTTATCTTTCTCCTTTTTTTCAACCAGGTCAGGGAAAATGGTTAAGAATGCTTATGAGTAGTGAGACTCAATTATTCATTAGCTATGTAGAGACCCCATTTTCACAATTTTCTCCATCGATGATGAGATTGGATAGTTTTCTCTTCACGGTGCAACAAGTACTAAACATGTAGTAACAAAGCCACTAATGCTCTCTCGTGGGTTCAGTCTGAAGAACTTGTCAGATTACTAGCATTTGTCCCTCATTTGTAGGTAGCTAATATTCGTCTCCATTGTCCTCCTCTGGGTCTTCTCCCTCTGTCTCCTTCATTGAACCCTGTCCAGTCAAAGATATCACAATTTTGTTTGGACAATCAGAGGCAATGTGCCCAAAGTTGTGGCACATAAAACACTTCATTGCTGGGATGAATTTAAGAGTATTGACTATCTCCACATTTTCTCCACTTTTATGTGTTTCTCCTCTAGCGGGATCGGGTTAGGTGCTCCACTAGGTGTACTTTTATTGCTTGATCCTATGATTCAGCTATGTGTAAGGTGTGGCAATCATCTGGTGACATTATTGTTTCTCCACCTTTAATGCTAGGTCTACACATCTAGTAGGGACCAATAAGGTTGCAGTTGATCCATATTACTAATAAATGATCAGTCCTCCAAGATATAGTCACTGTGCTCCTTTGATTCCACCAATTCATATTTCAACATGAGTTGATCGAAGTCAGTTGTGTACTTCGCAAAAGTGTCTCTCTAGCGCAGGTTGTGGAGGCACAAAATACTTTTAGTAATGTGGGAAGTGGCGAAGCAAAACACTTTTAAAAGAGAAGGCACAAAATATTTTTTTTCAAACAACACTTTTCATTAGACTTGAGGTTGACATTAATTGTTTTAAATAAAAATTACCACCTTGCCCTTGAGCACCATCTACCCGTTGCCAAGGAAGACGGTATCGATGTGCTTACTTGAATCTAACAACAGGTTAGTCAGGTCGAGGCGGACCTCTAGCGTATGGGCATGGTGGGCTAAGTGCAACTTTAGGGTAGTGTTTGTGGCAGATAAAGATGTGAAAAACCTTGGGGCAGGGGATCATGAATGGTGAAAATTTTAGACATTCTTCTACATTTTAATATTGTCATTTTAGTTTGACAAGAATCTAATATATAAATAAATAATTAATTTTTAAATATTTATTTTAAAATAAATTTATATATTTAATAATTTATTGAATCAAAATTTACCTAAAATGCCATCACTTAATTTTCTTGTATTATATATGCAAACAGAGAAAAGTTTTTCCTTTTTTTTGTTCGACTAGGAGTTAAGAAAAACTTTGGAACTATTTGCATACCACTTGTCATATATTTAATTATCAATAAATTATTACTTGGGTTCTATTTTTAGCATGATAACATCAGTCAACTTATTTTTTAAGCAAAAAGAGTTAAATTTTAATAATTTTTTTTAACCAGACAAACTTTATGTTCATAGGTAATAGAAATCATTATCAATATAGAATTTATTTCTTTCGTTAAATATTTTTATTTTCAAGAATAGATAAATATACTCTAAAATTATGAATAATTTTAATTAAGCCCAATAAATTAAAAGTGGATTTATCTTGCATATTTAAACCCGTGGCCTGTTGGACTGATTTGAAATTGGGAAAAAAATTCTGAAATCACTGAAAAGATACATGCAATATGATACCCATCAATTCATTTTTCATATAATTAATTAATTACCACTGATTTGGATTATTATTATAGTTATTGTATCTGAATTAAGATTTTTATACAATTAATCAATTGTCATTAATTTGGATTATTAATATATGTATTATATCTTGGAGTGGCTAATCAAATAGCTGATTGAAAGAAAAAAATAAAAAAGTACTTGCAAACCTTCTACAAGCTCTTGTTTAGAGTTTTCCAGGGCGTCGAGAAGGGCCGGGGAGGAGAGTGGATTGCATATGTATGTAGGAGTGGGCCATGCTTTCGCAGGTCCAGTAAAATCAGCCGGAAGAACCTCTTTTGCGAACTCTAGGTGGATTGGGTTGTTGGGGAGGGGAGGGGAGGGGGCATGTGCCGATGAATGTGAGGGAAGTTATTTGCATTGCATCACACTTTTCATCTTAGACCACATGATGATCTTATTCTTCCCTTGCCTAATGTCAAATAAAGATAATTATAAAATAAATATAAATTTAGATATTAGGATTTGAATGAATTAGCATATTAAATAAAATAATTGATTGTTGATATATACATAAAATGACAACTTACGTAATAAAATAATTATTGTGAATATTTTTATAAGTATTAAATTAAATAGGGAATCAAAATAAAATATTGAAAATCTAAAAGCAAATCATACGATATTGAGGTAAGTATTCATGTCCTTATGTTATAATAATAATTTTGCTTTTTCTAGAACAAATATATTTATTGTTACTATCACTAGTTATATTAAAATCATTGCAACTCATGATTTATGATTCTATTAAATTTTTATTCATATTGTAGTAATGATATGCGCACTCGGCATTATCTAAATTATCATAGATATTGAATGTTACACAAGTATATTAAGTGTTCTGCAAATGAGAATAAACTAATCATTATTATATAGTGATTTTCATAGTATACTTGCATGTGAATGTTTAACTATAATGGAATTCGCCCGTTTATGATACTAGCGGAAAATGTTAAGATACCCGTACACGTAAATGAAAAGGATTGTTGATATTGATGTGTCTTAATTGACACAATTTTAGATAGTGCTCCTGTGACAGTTGTACAAATATAAAATAATATAAACATGTTACTAATATGATAAAATATATTTAATGTTATGAATTTATCGTAAAAAATCATATCTGGAATAGTAAATTATCTATTGTTATACTGATTTATATCATCTCTAACTAGCATGTGTATTGCTATCTTTTTGTTACATTACTATAGTTAAGAAGTATCAATATTCTCTTTTGTTATGTTACTGTAGTTTAGGAGTATGAGTATTCACAAACGTAGTTAGCTCACTGTGGTTTTAAACTAATATTTCAAGTTTAATTAATTGATTAAAATAAGAGTGACAATATGTATATATATATATAG